GTCTGCGTGGGCAGCGGGGCCCGGGAGGAGGCAGGGCCCGGGCGGAGCTGGGCCTCGGCCCGTCCCTCTGCCCGGGGCTCCGCAGGCCGAGCGGGCCGTCGGGTACCACTGCTGGGGGAGACAGGTCAAACCTTTCTCTTACTAACAAAGATGTCAGAGGGTTACATGTCTGAACGTTCCTTACTGCCATCAGAGAAAAGTTCCTTCCAGGCAGTTTTAGCCACATTGTTTCTAATGACTACAAAATCAAATATAAACAGGATGTAATACTGATATGAAACTCGTTGTTTTATTAGTATGGGAACTTTATAGATGCTTTACGGCTCTATGTGAGAGGAGGAACTGGTGGAATGGGTTATCCTCGTCTAGGTGGAGAAGGAGGGAGAGGTGGTGACGTCTGGTTTGTCGCCCAAGAAAGAACTACTTTAAAGACCATAAGGGACAAATATCCCCAGAAGCGATTCGTAGCTGGAACGGGAGCCAACAGCAGGTAAAAGATTGTTTGATGAAAATTGTTACATGCATCTTTTCCAGAAAGCAAAATGTCACCTTAAGTTACTAAGCCTGGTTTAATTTCTCCCAGTGTTAGATCACTAAAAGGTGAAAAAGGAGAAGATTGTGAAGTTCATGTGCCTCTGGGAATTTCAATTCTTTGTGATGATGGCAAGCAGATTGGTAAGAACTTTTGCTCTGTTTTAATGTATCTAGTAGATACTGTCATATTTCTTGATAGCATCTAGCAGACTTGTAACGCTAGGATGTTTTAAGGTTACCCATCTCCCAAAATATGTACGTGTGTTCCTTTGTCTGGACAAAGAGTTGACAAAAAATACGCTGTAGAAATTGTGAGAAAAGGAAGTAACCCTTCCGGAAATTAGCAGTAGTCCATTTGTATCACTGTATGCACTAGAAATAAAATTGTCCTTGCAAGCAAGTGTTAAAGGCTGGAAGCCATACTGATCCTCTACAGAATCATTACTGACCTTACATAAATCATGTGTCCATAAACTCAGGTAAGAATCCCTATAACTTTATTAATGTCCTAATGGATATTGCTTAAAAGATAAAGATCCTTGCTGAGTGGCAGCATTTCAGGTTATCTAAAATACTTGCCTGTTTTTTACTCTTTCTTGAAGGTTAGTGCTTGGTAGTAACTTGGAAGGTCTCTCTCAATACAGTGCTCTTGGAATAGCTCTCAATAGTTCCTTTGCAGTTTTCCAAGAGCCTTTCTTCTCATACTGTTCAGAGTTCAAAGCAAATTCACAGATGCCTCTGATTTGGATGTTTAACAAAATTGGATGTATGGCAAGAACTGTTTGTGATCATGTCACATGTTAGTGTCTAAAGGTATTCTTGAATTACGTACTCATATGTTGCAGTTTTATTTTAATTATTCTAACCCTAAGGGAGATAGCATAGCCTGCATCTTAATAAAAAAAAATATGGAACATCTGAAGAGTTTCCTGTAGCCACATTTCTATCAGTGCAGATTTTTCTTTACATTCTGCAAGTATTGGAGGCTTCAGAATACCGTCTTGACCATACCTTGCCTGCCTGTGCTTAGCACTTTCCTTGAAGTGGCTGTCTGTATGACAGAGGGGGATACTGGGGTGTGATTGCTCTCAGGGGTTCCCAAGGAAGGAAAAATATCATGACCCTGAGTGCACAGCTCTTGTAAGAAAGCATACAGAAAATTCTCCCTACATTGAAGATGTAAGTGGAAAACCACAACTGAACTACTGCATGGGATTGTGCTTTTTCACTAGTGATTTTATTTCCAGGAGAGCTTAATGCAGCAGGAGAGAGATTCTTAGCAGCTCGTGGAGGTCTTGGAGGCTCTTTGATCACAAACTTTATGCCTTGCAAAGGTCAGAAGCGGATTGTTCGTCTTGATTTGAAACTTATAGCAGATGTTGGCTTAGTTGGGTAAGTACTGTAGTTTGAGAACTGACAGAAAACAAATTAGTAAATTTCAAATGGGACTTTAAAGAAATTTGAGATTTTGGAAGGTGAGTGTAACTGTACATTTGCATTGCCACTTAAATTTCTTGCAGTTTGCAAATTAGAGTTTAAACCTATTAGAATTAATTTTAAAATTTGGAAAATATTGGTTATCCTTTTTTGGGTAAAGGGCCTCACGATTCAAGATAGTATATTGATATTAATTTAATATAGCAGTTGCAATGATTATCAAAATACTATTAGCTAATATTTGATAATTAAGTAGGAGATGCAAAACAGAGCCAAAAACACTACCCATATTTCATCTTTGAATATATGGTACTGCCAAAAGTGGATCCTTTTTAATTAAAGGGAGTTTCAAAGGCTACCTAGCCTACTCTCCCAAATAAACAGCTTGGAATGTTGGAAGAAAGTAATTACACACTGGAACAGTACAACTTCTGTTTCTTTTCCTCTGGTGCTTTTCAATGTTGCTGGTTTATAACAATGTGGATAAATATATTTTTATTTGGAGAAAGCTTTCAACAGACTACAGTTGCAGAAGTATTGATCTACTCAGCATCTACTATCCCCCCTTACACCCCATGGTCCTTATTAGTAAAAACCATAGGAAATGCAAAATGCCAAGGGGTTTGATGTGAAAATAGTCCAGTTGATATATAACGTTAAAGAATGGAAGCTTGAAGACAGCATAGTATTCTATCTACATTTTTCTTTTGTTTGCTTATTAGAAATAGTTTTGCTAATATCAGATTTATCTAAAGTTAAGCAATTTTCAAGAGGTCTTCAATAATTACACGATAGAGGTTTTTCTTCTTGTTTTAGAGTGTGTGAAAATACGGGAGTTTTACAACACTGGTGGTGCTTTAATCTTGCATTTTGGCTTGTATTTTAGCTGATGGTTTCCCTTTAAAATGGATTTTTAAAATCATTATCAGTTAATTAGAGTAACATTATTTTTTTGTTGAGAGTATGAATTAGCCTCTGATAGTTTGTGGTTGTACTTTGATCTTTCTGTTTGTTATTTTTAGTTCAGTAGATTTGCAAGTGGTTTGCTATTAGACCAAGTAAAAAACATACAGACTTGAGAAAGACTCATCAGGTTTGAGTACAGGTTGTGATGTGTAGTGCAGGTTGCTATTTAAACTTCAAAGAGCATATTGTACCTCAGTGGAAACAAAATACTCCAGCAGATGACTAGAGTAACCTTCCAGAGTGGCTTTAAGGCACCTCGTAACATCAGAGCACATTAAAACTACCCTCAGTAGTTTTCCTGTTCTAACAAGAGTCATTATGTCTCTCTCTATTTTAAGAAAGCCCCATATGCAACCCCTTTATAAAGCCCCTTAATGTAATACTAGTCTTGCTTTTCATTAGCTCATGTTCTAATTAGTTGTCCCTGTTAACAGGTCATGATTCTGCATGTATTCAAGTGGAGAGTGTATGGATTTGTGTGACTCATGCCTTTGTATCTTGTGGCCAGTATTCAGTTGCCCTTTTCTTTGATCACTTTGAGCACTGAAACATTGTGCTGAATAACTGTGTGTGAATTTGACCAGAACACAAGTTTTGTGCGATCTCCCGTATGGAGCAGGTGCTGTGAATAAGGCCCGTAGTCATAAGGACTGTAGTCTATCATCTGATGTCAGCATTAGCTTTGGGTTTGACGTGGATCAAGGCTATTGTGTCTTAAAACTCAGGTGAATCTTTAAAACAAGTGTTGTAATTTAAGTTTTAACTTAGGCTTCCATTTGAATGGATAGATTTATTCTGTGAAGAAGCTTTTGTAAACGTTCCCTTAAGGAATGTTTTTGTTGTAGTATGCAGGTACAGCTATCTCTGAGGATAGGGAAAAGGTTAAAACAGTCAGGTCTGTACAGTCCAGCTCCTGGGCTTTGCTGCTATTTTGGTTTACTTGGTAACAATGCAGTTTAGTCCTAATTTCAGGATCCCTCGTACAACTTTGTTGCCTTAAAAGCATACACAAGCTGTGCATGTGTGTGTCTATATAGACAAAGTCTCTTTCACTCTTCCCATCATATATATGCACTTTGCTACTTTATCTAAGCTGTAGCATACATATCATTGGTATTTCAATCGTAGAATGTTTCATTAATGATGATATGTATACTAAAAGACTGTAAGTCCCACTTGATAAGATGTATTTGCATGACAGGTGTTTTGAATGTAAATGTAATTTACAAAATTAGCTATAGCATGTGAAGACTGAATTCAAGTAGACCTATATGCTATGCTGTATTTCTGTCCAAGTGACTTTGAAAGATCTCCCTTAAAAGTTTTACACATGTATTTACATACCTCTCCTGCCTGCATCCTTGGGAGGCATTGCTGGATTTAGAAAAATTCTTTTGATTTGTTTAAAAAAAATCATTATGATCTGGGTTTTGTTTTTTTGCTTTTAAAAAAAAAGTGAGTAACTTAAGTCTGTAGAAATTAATTGGTATCATTGAGTTTGACTAAGGTAATATAGTGTATTCGACAGTAAAATATGCAGGCATCACATACGTGTTTATTCACTGTATACATCCTGACTTTCCTTCTAGGTTTCCAAATGCAGGAAAATCATCCTTACTAAGCAAGATTTCTCATGCCAAACCTGAGATTGCAGATTATGCATGTAAGTTCATACTCTTATTTTTAGAGCAGTAAATGTTTCATGAGAGCAAGAAGAGTCTTTTCTCGTGAGTTCATTTAGAGGTTTATAATAAAGAATAGGGGATAACCATGTTGCCTGTCAAATACAGTACACAGATTTTCAATTATAAGAAATACTTCAAAGAGAGAACTTACTGTTTCAGTGTCCAGTTCCTTTAACTGCCTCGGTTTTTCATGTGTACAGCCCTCATAGTGCTTGAGCCTGTTGATTGCAGGGTCTGTTGAACATTAACTTTAGTCTCAGCCTATTTTATTACATGTGAGAGACTTCATGGTGCGTAATATCCTCAGTCTAGTGAATATGCACCATCAGTTTAATCTGCATAAACATTTTTATGCTTTGGAAATAGCTACTACCTGTTCTTGCAACAGAGTAAGATTTTGGATTTGAATCTGTCAATTGAAAAAATGCAATTTTTATTAGTTTTCTATCAGTAAATTAGGATTAGCCATCTGATCATGCGTTAAATAAAAAGCAAGAATACAAGTACGGATAGTTCCTACTGATTTTTTGCACCACTCCCGATTCTCTACAGCCTTTTTCCATAATCTGGATAACCCATTTTGTGTCCAAGACTTCTCTAGCTCCTCTATTCCCTTTTTGGGATGACAAGAACAGAATTGCATACAGTGCCAAGATTTGGTCAACTGTTGCGTTTTTGAGAGGTCTAATTTTGTTCTCTCTTGTTTTGCTTTTTCTTTATTCCTTTTTCAGTAATTCTTAACATCCCCTTTGCTTTATTTTTTCCTGCTGTTGAATATTTGTTTTATTTAAATATGAAGTGAGAAGGCCCTGCAACACTTAAATGCTTTGTAATAATAACAACGTGTTTTTTTAAAGTTAAAACAAGTTTTGTTTTTCTTTCCCTCCTCTTTTTTTTTCCTAGTTACAACAATACAGCCTAAACTAGGAAAGATCATGTATTCAGATTATAAGCAGGTGGGTATGAAAGGTCATTTTGGTTGTTCATTAAAGTTGTATATAATGGTTAGTTATGTTGCTTAATGTAACTTCAGAAGGAAAAAGGAAATCTGTAGGTTTTTTTCTTATGTGTGTCTATAATGTATACATATAAAATGCATTTACATGGATTTAACGAAAGTTGTGGAGAAAGTACTATTTTTATAAAGTAGTAGGAGAGCTTTATAGCCAAATGCAGTAATATGACATTGATGAGATTTCAAGTTACTTTAATAAACGGCTTCTCATTTTCCCTTGTCTCCTTTCTGTGGTTCTAATCCTGCTTTATAATCTTAAGAGCTGTGAGCTCCTGTGTAGAAGTGATTACTGTGTCCTAGTATCCTGTTGTTTAGGACTTTAAGAATATCATTGTTTCAGAGACTAACCTGTTGTTTTTATTTAGAAGAGGAATTTTTCTGCAAGTTGGCTATCCAGAGAGCTCTAGAATGAATAAGTCTTTTTCAGAATGGATTATAAACAGGGGCAAATTTGTCCCAATAGCTGCAGATCTGTAGTAGTGAATGACAGGGAATTTAGTGAATATAACCCAATTACCATAACTGGCTGTACTGGCTTTCTAGGTTGTCTGCTCAGACTTCATTTTGTGGTTTCTTTTTTGTGTTTGTTTGGTTTGGGTTTTTTTAAACAAAAACTAAAATAGTGTGATGTGCTAGTGATTGCCTGGACAGCCAGGGTAGCATACTACCTGAAGTAGTGAAGTACTTGGGACTGGTTCCTTTTGTGGTAGGCTGTAACTCTGGAGGACCAGTGAAACTACTGCCCTACCATCTTATTTTTTGTGAAACTGATTCCACCCTGCTGCTTCAGGTAAAGTTGTCACATAATTGCATGGTGCCTGGAATCCTTTCTACAGTATCCACCGGGGGAAAAAAACACAATGCTAAATGAGATTCTTATTAATAGATTTTGGACCCCAAGTTTATGTAAGGTTACAGCAAACACTTTGATTCCTGAAGCTTGAATCTTCTTTGATGTACTTTGTTTTGGTTTTTAAGTGTATGATACATGCAGTATTGGACTCATCACTTCCAAGATAAAAGGCAAATGCATAAAAGGGTTTCAGATGAGTTAACCAGAAAAGGATACCTCTCAGATGAGAAAAGACAGAAAATCCTCACTCTCAGAAGCAATAACCTTAGGGGGTTCAGTAGCTGATGCTTGAAGCTTTCATTGTAATAACCTTTAACAAAACTATGTGTTAGAGGAAGTTAGTCTAGTTTGTCAGGTTTCCTGTAGAGATGCACATACCTAAGGGATCTAAGGGAAATTGTTTGTATATTACTCATTTTATCTGCTAGTTTAGGGTAACTTATCCTAGAAAACTGTGCTGCAAATAACAGGATTGTTTATAACCTTTTTTTAAAAAAATATCTACCTGCCATGAATCAGGACCTCTTGCTCTTATTGGCGAATCTTTCTCCAGTAGGAGAATTGTCTGCATTCCTGGCTTTCTTTTCTGCAGTCTGTTTCATGTTTTAGCAAATGACCCTCATTGGGTGTTTCTGCAGTTTATGGTTTTTGTACTACAGTGTCAGGTGCTATATAGGAACTATATGGACAAATTACCTCTTTTCTAAAGCCAGTGGAACTAGTGATTGTGATCACAGTGAGCATGTGTGAGTAAGAGGAAGTACTTCAGCTCTTGGTATTGCAACTGCCAAGAACAAAACAATGTAAGCAATTAAGAGCAATTATTGAGGTAACTCTCCTCACTTTTTCTTTCCTACAAAACTGATGTTTTTAAGGAAGTATGTAGAAATTTGCTAATTTTATCATAGTACATTACAAAGACGAAAATACATGCAAGTTACCTGGTGCTGTCTGCCATTACTACTTGGAAAAGACAAAACACAAAAGTAGAGAATCTGCATGTGAGTTGGGCTTCATGTCTTAGTACCAGATCATGGAAACTAGCAGAAGCGTTTATATTTTCTACCAGAATATCTGAACGAAATGCTGTTTTTAGAGAATATGAGTTTCTTTGAGCTTTGTAAAAAAAACGTTCTTTGAAAGAGAACTAAAGTTGGGGAAAAAGGTGATGATGATGTTACTACAGCACCCAAGGACATCGCACCAGAAAGTGGATGTTTCTGTTCTAACTCTCTAGTTATTTTCTCCTGTTCCAGTTATTCTGTTCCAGTTTCTAGTTACAAGTTTGTGGTTCATCCAGCTGTATCTAATGTCTCTGTAGATGGAAGATTCTGAATGAAAGCTTCAAATATTTAGAAAATCCATAATAGTTAAAAATTAGTGTGACTCGAGTGGGAGTGTAGCTTACTCATGGGCAGAAAGCTCCCTTCTGCAATAGGTAGCACACTGGAAATTTTATGGTGTGCCAGCTTTGGGCATTGTTTAATTGAATATAGTTGCTTTCTAAATAGGTATTAGATAGATTTGAAGACCCTACTTTTGCTCTTCTTTACTTCGCTTCTGTCTTAGCTTTTTGTGAGTTATAGAGTAGATACTTGGGGGTTTTAGTATTCTGCTCTTTTTCAGTCTGTCTCAGCTCTCCTTTACAACTGTGTACAACCCTCTCAACCAGCAGAGAAAATGACAAGATTCCTGTCCATTGTGGCAGTCTTTGCTGGGCTCTGCTTGGAAGCTGATACACTAATCTAAATCTCATTCCTGTTGAAGAGAAGATAAATTCTTGGAGCTTCTCATGCTATGAGGAACAACGTTAAGTGGGTTTGCATTTGGAATAATGATCCTCTGTAGCCACAGCGAAGAGACTTTATTTTCTTTTCCAGTGACAGTTTGAATTCTGAACAAACTTGATAGCCTAATCTGCTTGCCCTTCAGAGTGTTTTATTCTCAGGTGATAGGTAAATTTTGCAAGATCTCTGCTGAGGTATTATTGCTCTCTATTTTCTACGTTGCAGACAGGTATGAATGAATAGACAGGGAAACAGGAGGACACAGTGTCTGTGTAATAGTAGCATTTTGTTTAAATCTGCTTCTGATGATAGATTCTAAATGTATTGAAACAACCAATGCATACTGGTGTGGGATCAGTTCTCCACACAATTCCAAGGGATACCCGCATAGTCGTAAAAGGAGTCTCCAAACAGATATTCCTGACATTCCTTTGTCTAGGTTCTATTGTTTGTATAAAACGATAATGGGTGTTGATAGTTAATAAAAGAATGATTTTTGCTTGTTGGAAATTTTTTGTTTAAACCTTTTGTTTTCCTAGATTTCAGTAGCTGATCTCCCAGGATTGATTGAAGGCGCACATGTAAACAAAGGGATGGGCCACAAATTTCTCAAACATGTAGAAAGAACCAAACAGCTTCTCTTAGTTGTAAGTTAAATAGAATTTATAGCTTATAGAAATCAAAGGCAGTGCAGTAAATAAAATATGTCTTAATTGCAGTGTAGTTGGAATTCAGGAAATTGTTTGTAATTTGCATGTTTTGTGGTAAATATAGTTGTAATGCTCTTTTCAGAATGGAACACTCAAATGACTGATGATAAATTCTTAAATAGAATTTATCATTAAAATTTGCCAATTAATTTAGAGCAGTGACATGTTCCAAGCGTAATTAAAGCATTGAGTGATTTTTTTTTTTAAATTATTTTTTCTGAGATCTCTTTAAAGAGCTTCAAAAAAGAGACCTTTAAAAAACACTGTCAGAACCAACTGGTTTCTACTTCCAGTGTCTATGGTGTTACTTTGGTGTATAGTTGCCCTCTGTTACTTGCCCAGGAATGAGAGCATGTACATGGACATTTTACTGCAAAGTGGTTGATGGAGAGTATCTTGATACTGTAACATAATTTTATACCACAAAGCTTGTTTTTCTGTAACTTTTTCAGGTTGATATTTCTGGGTTTCAGCTGTCTATTAAGACTCAGTTCAGAACAGCCTTTGAAACTATATTGCTTCTAACAAAGGTAGGTTCTCATCTTCATAATTGAAGTTGTAGTTATGTGTTGAGCCAAGAAAGGGGCTCAGTTTTGATCAAGAACTTTCAAATGTTAGTGTGTCTTCTGGATTTATAATATAAGGCCTGTTAGAAGCTTAGGATTGTCTGAAATTATGGAATCTTTAACTGTCCAGGTGAAACTGCTCTACTTTGTTGGGCACAACTGTTCCTTTGCTAATCTGTGCAGCATATGGAATATTTCTTACAGGCAAGCAAAGGTGAAAAGACATAATTTTCAGTTGCCCAGTCTGGTAGTCTTTTAGGAAGTAGAAATACATGGGTATAACTGAATCCCTGCGTTGACGCCCCTGCTGCCCAGCATAATGGAGATGAGACATCAGGCCCCAGCTTTGCAGACATTCAGTGTTTCCAGCTCTTACCTTTGGTCCTGATTTAAAATAATAAGATTTTGTGTAATTTCAAGTTCAGCAGCTGTTCTTATTGTAGCTGTAGGACTGAAGATGATGAATCTTCTGAATTTCAGCTGTTGCTGTTCATTTTCAGGTGATTCATGGTTGTGATTTTATTTCTGATGTTAACTGTAGTCCATTAGAATGCTTAAGAATCTGAAAACTTAAAAGAATTTGCTTATATGTTTATAAATCTGAACTTTTCCTGAAATTGATGTTGTGTTTGTGGATATCAGAAAAACAAAACCGAAACTGTCTTTATAGGAGGCTATTTCAGAATCAGCCAGCCCGTTTCCCTGAAATATCTGTTTGAGTAAAAAAATCACTGAATGTTTTTTTCTTCTGTCAGACTTCTTTAATACCTTGAGCACCTGAGTAAATCTCATGGCTGCCTAGGCATGAAAGACTATTTGAGCAATTAAACAAATGAGAGAGGAGATATAGTAAAATAGAAGTAGCACTTGTTAAACTCCTAATAATAAGGCAAATTGATTTGTCTTTTAAGGAACTGCAGCTGTACAAAGAGGAACTTCTAACAAAGCCTGCACTTCTTGTCATTAATAAAATGGATTTACCTTGTGCAAAGGATAACTTGAATGAACTTACTTATCAACTACAGAATCCTCAAGGTAAATTAACTTTCAGTGATTACCTTTGACAAAAGTAGTAATAAGATTTCATTGGGGTAACTGCATTGGCAAGCAGTTGTTAGAAACTGAAGTCAGCTATTAAATTTACTATTTGAACATAGTTTTTAAAACCACTTCCTGTGTTTAGAGCTCTTTTTATATGCATATATGCATTTGTAATGCTGGCTTCACTGTTGAGGAATATTTTAATAAAATAGAGATATCCTGGATGGTCCTTCACCACTATGATATGGGAAAGTGAATTTCTGGTCTAGGTATCTCAGGTAACAGTAACCTCCACTGAAGGTCCCTTTGCAGACACTGATGTATATACAATTTATCATGTGACTTGGGCCAAAACCCATGAAAATTCTGGACAGACCTATGTAGATGTTCTGCTGATTAAGGATACCAACTAAACTCGGACACCAGAGTGAAAGAGTAGGCGTATTTTACTAGTGATAACCAATGTAACAGTGTAATATAGAAAACATGCAGTAAGAAAAAGCAGAATAGTGCACTTAAAGCAGCAAACAGGAAAAAACAGGGTAATGCATTAAATCATTACTACACGGGAGAGAGAATGGAGATTAAAAAAAGTACATCACCATTGCATACGTTACCACCATCCGGACCCGCAGTGGCTGGGCAGCCCCGGTTGCAGCGAGGGTTTGGGGAGCCTGTCCCGGCAAGGGGGAAATCCTACACGGTGCGTCCACCCATAGGTGAGGCATCCAAAGTCGCTGCAAACGGGCCCAGCCTTATATCCCAGAGATCGACAGGCCAGAACAGCTGGCACCTTTGTTCTGAGCGGAAAATTTCTGTTCCTGTTGGATCCCACCCAAAGCCTGGCCAGGGCTCAGGGGGGAACCCAAGGGAGTTTCTAACAAGGCCAGATCCTTGGGTTCTCAGCCTGGAACAAGGCTAAACAAGGGAAGCTGGATACATCCTCTCCTCACTCCTGATTATATTTTGTCTAAGCTGCATCTTTTACTAGGAGTTTACATACTTTGTTAATGATGACACACTAAGCAGCTTGGGCTTGGGGCCTGTTGTTCAGGCTTTTGTCTAAGCTGCATCTTTTACTAGGAGTTTACACACTTTGTTAATGATGACACACTAAGCAGCTTGGGCTTGGGGCCTGTTGTTCAGGCTTCAGTACTTCCAATGCTTGAGCACTTTCTACATCAGCATAAGTGCGTTGTTATAACTTAGTACAATACCTACTAGCACAATGGTTTTCAGTTATAAAATAGACAGGATTCATCTATAGATCAACTCTGGCTTGGGCCGGTTGTCCAAGCCTTAGCACTTCAGTAGGTTTACTTCAATTTTGTTATTACATTGAGGTGAATTTCTTCCTATTTCCTGGAGTCTATAAGAATCAGAAGGGCTTAAAACTATCCCATCTCCCATATTCTACAACTTCAGATTTCTTTGTACTCATGTTGAAGGAAAGGTATAGAATCTTCTCATGAGAGCCAAAGTGTGATGTAAATGCTGTGTTAGTGCCTGTCTTCTGAGATGTTGGCTATTTTTTTAAATATAATACTTCTATATTCATTGCATTACATTTATCACAGTAATTCATTAACTTTTATTTTCTAAATTTAATGGGATTTTATGGGATTTATAGCGATACAGTATTTGGGGATTGTATTAACTCTTTCAATGTGATTTTTCAGACTTCTTACACTTACTACCGGAAGAAATGGTCCCTGCAAATACACTTGAATTCAAATATATAATTCCTATATCTACATACACTGGAGAAGGAATTGAGGAACTAAAAGAATGTATAAGAAAATCCATATATGAGGAAGCAGAACAGGAGAATGAAGAATATCGGAAAAAGAAACTCCTACTTCTGCAAACTTCAGAAGAGCAAGAAATGAACAGAAGTTAGCATTCATGGCTGGAGCCAATGCGTTTTAGTATTTTTAGTATGTACATGAACCCATTGCTGTGCAGACCTTTCGTTTAACTTTTGTTCCTTCTACCACAACTGCCCAGTTCTCTGCTCCCCACTTTGTCTCAGTTTTTTTCTGGCACTTGGGTAGAGCACAGTGGGGAAAGGAACAGGTTTTTCTGATTTATGTTGGCTACCAACTCAACAGAGTAAAGACCAAAGTATGTGCAGCTCAAAGTACTGCTTAACAACTGATGATCCCTGGAATATTTTTTGCCAAATAAGATGAATGGGAGGAATATGACCCACACAGGTAGCAAAGGAGCAGGTTCATCCACTCTGTATCTTCTGCCGTGGCATCAGAAACACCAAGGGAGATTTCTGATAGAGCATTTCCCAGGATCTAGTGCTTTTAAGGTGAACCAGTTCTGCTGCTTTGACAGGCATCGGATTGGGGGGGGG